TCGATAGGGCTTTCCTCACTTCACAGTCGTGGCCGTTCACAGGATGGTATTTTTGAACGACAATCTTGTCTGCGGAGTCGTGGGCGTCAAGGGCACAAAAGCAGAACCTCTTTTTGCCACTGCCTCGGTCCGTCGTGATCTCAATCACTTCAATTTTCCCATACCGCTCAGAGTAATCTCTTAGATGATGTTCTTCAGTGTCTTCTTTAACGCCACCGACAAAGATCTTTTTCACAGTCAAGTGGGCACCGGGCCTTTGAGAACCTTCTCGGGAGAGCCCTCTGGTTCCACGACTCTCCCGCCACCGTGTGCGGCCGAGCGTTCGTGGCCGCGTCCGCCTCCTCCACCGTGGCTACGACCAACCCAAAGCCCCTGGAGCGCTCGGTGTCGGGGTCTCTCATTATCACACAGGCCGGCAGCGGCCCCAGGGTCTCAAAATGGCTGCTCAGACTCTCATTTGTTTCGAAGCTCAAACCTCCGATGAAGAGCTGGTGCAGCTGCTCGGGCTCTTTGGGCGACTGACTTAGACATGACGGCGGTGGGAGGGGAGACGGTAACGATGCTCGCTCGGGGCGTCCAGGGGCAGAAAGCGCCTGTGCCCTTCAAATCAGTATTTTTGTATCCTTTGGGTAAATACCTAGTAGTGCAATTACTGGATCTTAGGATATTTCTACTTTTAACTTTTTGAGGAACCTCCATACTGTTTTCCAGAGTGGCCGCATCAGTTTGCATGTCCACCAACAGGATAAGAGGGTTCCCCTTTCTCTGTATCCTTGTTAACACCTGTTGGTTCCTGTGTTGTTCATTTTAGCCCTTCTGACAGTGAGATACCATTATTCTGAGATGGTATGTCACTGGGGTTTTGATTTGTGTTTCCCTGATGATGAGTGGTGTGGAGCATCTTTTCATGTGTCTCTCAGCTATCTGGATGTCTTTTCTAAAAATATCTATTCAAATAGTGAAAGGGATTATAAGGGAAAGGAGAGGAACTGAGTGGGAAAAACTAGAGAGGGAGACAAATCATGAGAGACTCCTAACTCTGGGAAACGAATAAAGGGTAGTGGAAGGGGAGGTGGGCAGGGGCTTGGGGTAACTTGGTGATGGGCCCTGAAGAGGGCACGTGATGGAATGAGGACTGGGTGTTATACTATATGTTGGCAAATTGAACTTCAATAAATACAAATAAAAAATAAATAAAATAATAAATAAATAAATAAATAAAATAAAATAAAATAAAATAAAATAAAAATATCTATTCATCTTCTGCCCATTTCTTAACTGGATTATTTGATTTTGGGGTGTGGAGTTTGATAAGTTCTTTATCAATTTTGGATACTAACCCTTTATCAGATCTGTCATTTTCACATAACTTCTCTCATTCTGTAGGTTGCCTTTTAGTCTTGTTGATCGTTTCCTTCATAGTGCAGAAGCTTTTTATCTTGATGAAGTCCCAGTAGTTCACTTCTGCTTTTGTTTCCTTTGCCTCAGGAATTGTGTCTAGAATGAGGTTGCTACAGCTGATGTGAAAGGGGATGCTGCCTGTGTTCTCCTCTAGGATTTTGGTGGTTTTCTGTCTCACATTTAGGTCTTTCATCCATTTTGAATGTATTTTTGTGTATGATGTAAGAAAGTGGTCCAGCTTCATTCTACTGCATGTTGCAGCCCAGTTTTCCCAACGCCATTTTTTGAAGAGACGGTCCTTTCCCACTGAATATTCTTTCCTGCTTGTCAATGATTAGTTGACCATATAGCTGTGGGGCCATTCCTGGGTTTTCTATTCTGTCCCAGTGATCTATGTGTCTATTTTTGTGCCAGTTCCATACTGTCTTGGTGACTACAGCTTTGTCATCTTGCTTGGACCCTAGAATTGTGATGCCTTCAGCTTTGTTTTACCTTTTTTTTTTTTTAAAGAATTTACTTATTTATTCATGAGAGATAGAGAGAAAGGCAGACATAGGCATAGGGAGAAGCAGGTTCCCTGTCGAGAACCTGATATGGAACACGATCCCAGGACCCCGAGATCACGACCTGAACCAAAGGCAGATGCTCAGTCACTGAGCCACCCAGGAGCTCCTGTTTTACCTTTTTAAGATTGCTTTGGCTTCAGGATCTTTTAGGTTTCATACAAATTTTAGGTTGTTTGTTCTAGCTCTGTGTAAAATGCTGTTGGTATTTTGATAGGGATTGCATTAAATGTTTAGATTGTTTTGGTTAGTGCAAACATTTTAACAGTATTTGTTCTTCTAACCCATGAGTACAGAATGCTTTTCCATTTTTTTGTGTCATCCAAATTGGCAAGGAAGAAGTCAAACTTTCACTATTCGTAGAGAACATGATAGTCTATGGAGAAAACTCAAAAGAACCCCCCAAAATTGCTAGAATTGATACATCAATTCAGTAAAGTCACAGGATATAAAATGAACTTTCAGAAATTTGTTGCATTTCTATACACCAATAATGAAGCAGCAGAATGATTAATGAAGGAATCAGTTCCATTTACAATTGCACTAAAATCTATAAGATACCTAGGGAAAATCTAACCAAAGAGGTAAAAGATCTGTCTTCTGTAGATTCTAGAATGCTAGGAAAGAAACTGAAGTTGAATTTACACTTTAAAACAAAGCCGAAGGGGTGCTTTGCTGGCTCAGTCCATAGAACTGAGACTCTTGATCTCAGGGTTGTGAGTTCCAGCTCCTTGTGGGGCATAGAGCCTACTTAAAAAATAATACAAAACAAAACAAAAAACCCAGAACTTTAGAACTTAATATAATTAATTTTTAATTAATCCATAGAAACTATGGATTACATGTTATTTATATATCATAAAGTTTAATCCTTATTTAATGTAAATTTTGATATACAATTTTCTTGAAATGAATTTGACTTTTCTTAAAGCTTTCCAATGACTGACTTCCATAGGCTGCTGTTTTCAAGGGAAAGATAACCAATAGTTAAACAGATCTGCTTCCTTGTACCTTTTCGATTGATTCCAACACTTTTCTCCTTCCTTAGCTGATATTTGATGCCATTTTTTAATGTATTACTTTCCTACTTCTCTTCCAATAGAGCTGTTTGAGCTCATCAATTCTGCTCTGGACCTACCTCCCAGGACTAAACACAACAATATAGATACAGGTGGGACACATCACAGTTCAAGACAATTGTTAGTTCTCTCTCTCTCTCTCTCTCTTTTTTTTTTCAAAACTATTCCTTTAAAAAAATTTTTAATGTAACTAAAGGAGCATTAACATTTTGAGACACTCCTTCTTAGTGTTGGTTCCTGTCAAGTTCCATTAACAATAGTTCTTTTTCCTTACTTAATGGGGTCTTTTCTTGAATATCTGATCATTGCTAGATAGTAGAGGATAGAGTCATAATAGTAATTTGAGATTTCTCAAGGTCATAGTGCTTCATATTCCTGATGCAATTCCTATGAATCCTACCTCTTTGAAAACAAAACTATAAAACTTTTCAGGCACAACTTGTAACAGAATGTAGTTAATTCGTGCCATAAAGTTACTCTACGTCAGTGTAAGTTACTCATATTGCCTCTAATTTAGTCTTAAAGTCACTAAAATCCAAAAGATGATTCAAATGGTTGTTTTGAGTACAATTCATTATTCATTTGTGCTTTGAAAGATGAAGACAGTTATCTCCAAATGAAATTAGCACATTCAATAAGCAATACAATAGTAAATATCTAAATTTTGCCATTATGGCAAGGTCAAATGTGGTATTTTCTACTCTGTTGATTCACATTTATGACCCAAATGAGGTTACTGCTTATGCACAAAGTACAATTAAATCAAGGTTAGACAAGACAACTTCTCTGGCATAGGACAGAGCACCAAGAAATTATATAGCATTGTTAAAATATGGATTAGGATTACTCTTAATGATATATTATCTGGTTTTCTTAAATATTAGCAGGGTAAATCTTTATCCCTAATCTTTATTTGTGTGTATGTGTGTGTGTGTGTGTTCACTTACTTTACTAACACTACATTTACCATGTTATCACCATGGAATTTAATTCAGGTTAGACAAGAAAATTTCACGTATACTAAAGCATTCTGAAGTATGCCAAAGTTTTTGTATCAATGTGTGACCAAACTGCCTTGCTGATAAATCATCAACCACTTCAAATATAGGTAATTTGTTAACATTTATGATTCTTACAGAGAAAATAAATAAACTTCAAACATTTAAAAAGTATTTTTCTTTTACCTTTGCATTAGTACTTAAAATACACATTTCTATTTCAAGATGACATTTAAAAATTCTAATACAGGGGATCCCTGGGTGGCGCAGCGGTTTGGCGCCTGCCTTTGGCCCAGGGCGCGATCCTGGAGACCCGGGATCGAATCCCACGTCGGGCTCCCGGTGCATGGAGCCTGCTTCTCTCTCTCTCTCTCTCTCTCTCTCTCTCTCTCTCTCTCTCTCTCTCATAAATAAATAAATAAAAATTTAAAAAAAAATTCTAATACAACATCAGCATAAATATAACTCTGCAATTACAGAAAAAGCTAAACTGGGATCCACAGTTAAGTTATTCTCATGTTTACAAATATGGTTCTGAAATAAATACTACTAAGCAGCTGTTATCGGCTTTTTGGGTTTGGTTTAAATACACATATTTTCAGTTGTGGGGCAGCTTATATTCTTTGCACTGTTCTGAAAGGATTAAGAGCCCTAAAAACTGAAGTACCCAGTCTGCAAAACAGGCAGAAAAAAGTTAAATAGGATTCCTATCTAACATCAAAAGCATGTGATATTCTGCAGCAATTGGGAGTACTTCAGAATTGGCAAACTGTCCTCTTTACAGCTAATTTTAACAGAAGAGTTTAAGAAGGAGCATATTTTATCACTACATTTAAAGTGACATGTTTCCTTTGTCCTAATTTGACTCCCGTGAATGACCTAGCTAGTTAATTGGTCACCAGTAATTTGGTTACCAGGCAAATCAAGCCTGCAAGAAAGGAAGCCAATATCTAAATTACCATATTATTGTCTGACCCATTCAAATGATTTATTTTCAACATAAACATAAAAACTCACTATGAGATGCCTAACTAAAAAGCAAGCACCACCAACAAAACCAAGACAGCTTCTCTTCTTTTAAGGTTTAGGCTTTGCCCAGAATTCCTTATACATGGAATAGCCCATACCAAGAGTCATTGCTCCCACAACAAAGCCTTGGGCTGCCACACGCATGTGGATCAGGTGAACAGACATTTTAGTATTTTCGCTGCTCTTTAATTTATATAATCCATATGCAACGATTGCTGCAAACCCCGCCATTCCATTGGGAAAAAATGGTGCCTCTCTAGCTTTTCGGATAAGTTTAGATCCCTGATCTTCATCATATGAAGAAAGAGAAACATCTGTGCCAGTTGACATTGTGACTGAAGAATCCTCTGAAGACAACGCTCTGCCCAAACTCCAACGGGCTTCTGGCTCTCACCCACACCCGCGGTGCAGCCGGCTTCTTCTCGTCCCGCCCCCTTATCCCTAATCTTGATTTTAATTTATAAAATATACGTATATTTTTAAAAGATTTTATTTATTTATTCATGAGAGACAGAGAGAGAGAGGCAGAGACACAGGCAGAGGGAGAAGCAGGCTCCATGCAGGGAGCCTGATGTGGGACTCGATCCCGGGTCTCCAGGATCAGGCCCTGGACTGAAAGCAGCGCTAAACCGCTGAGCCACCTGGGCTGCCCTAAAATATACATATTGATAATGTGATAATTTCAAGTTATACTTGACTGTAGCTATGTAATGATTCATTTATTAAAATGGATAAATGTTCTTCTGTAGGACATTTAAATGAAATACAAAAAATTAACCCCATCAGAAAACTTCCTAATTTTCCTCTTAAAAGCCAGAATTCTATTTAAGAATATACTCACAATAAAGTGCTCATATCTCAAATTAGTTAAATAAGCATATGGTAAATAATACCACTAAAATGTCATTTAAAAGGTAGTTAAACTATCTGGAAAGTAATCAGATTTATGCTTTGAAAAAAAGATATCTTAGTATTTATGTTAGGTTATAATGAAGTACAAGAATATATCAAACACAGTAATTTGGGAACCATGTCAGAGTAAATCCAGGATTTTTTGTCATCTGGCATTTATGTGTACATTAAGAAATAATCTTGCGTATTGCTTTCCTATTATTTTGAAGCATAATTACAAAAATTACACAATTGGATTTGATGTCTAATGAATCAGAGTAGTTGATCTTCTTGAATCTATATTTTGTGTTTCAGTGAGATAAGTGAGTTCATCTAATTACATTCACACTGACCTCATTTGTTAAAAAAAAAATCTTGGAAGCATATGACACCGCACTGAATAATTTCATTATTGTTACCAAATCTTGGCTTTTCTGGACAGATTTGTACAGTAGAAGTGCTATGATACATAATGCATGCAACTGCTTACCTTAGCATCAACTTTCACATGAAAAACTATTATACAAATTCCACTGTTATCAGAATGACTCTCTGTGACAATTCAAACACCTGGGGAATAATTTTGCTACAGATTTTGATATGGTAAGGAGCATTTCCTTCAAAATATGCCATCTTTTAAATCTTTTAATCTTAGAAAATTTGCCAACCTCTATATAAACTATTCTCTAATCTACATGGCCACCATTAATCTCCTCCCTGAGTTCAAGATCTGTTGCTTGGATATTGCCACTGTGATGCTCACTGCCAAATCAAATTTCATTTATTAGAAACATTAATACTTTATGCAATGCTCAATTCCCCCCACCTTTTCTTTATGGATAGTCAATGGCATTCTCTTAATCCCTAAGGTTCAAAAGTAATTGTTGCTTTCCTGTATTTTTAAAAATCCACTTAGTCCACAAGTATAGTTACAGCTTTCTCTCCAATATACCACTTCTCCATTTTCATTGCCATTTCCTTAAATAAGGCCTTCACTAATTTATATGTAAACTTAAGTTCCATGGGAAAAATGCAAACCTTACTGTTTAAAAATTATGTCCTAATACTGTTCAAGTTCCCATCCACAGCCTAAAAATCTTAATCAACCTTTAAATTCAAGTAAATGATGAATAATCCTTCAAAATCACAGTTAGCTCAAATAAAAAGATACAGTAAAAATAGTCAAACAAATGAATGCAAAATTAACTAATTTTTTCAGACAGTATAAGTTATTTTCCCAATTTGCTATGTTAAAATGTCAAACAGGGCAAAAAACTGAGGAGAAATGAATAATATGGAAGTTAGATAATAAGATACACATGTTTTCAATTCTTTCTGGAAGAAGATACAGTAAAAATGAAGAAAGGAGAAAGGAAATTAGGGATAATTAACTTTGTGAAGTGTTTATATACACTATTTGTAATATTATATGTGTGTGATATGTAATATAGAGTATTGCAAAGGCCTTATAATTGGCTCTTCTACCTGCTGGTACATGTCTTCTACAATCTATCTTGTATCATGAATGCATGATGAATCTTCCAAAACAATGCCTGCACACATTATTCTCATGCTCAGCATCCTTCACTGGCTCCTCATTGTCAGCAATGAAAATCCTCCTGTGAATAAAATACACAAACTTTGATTTGGAATTTAAGGTTCTCATAAATCTACCCTTAAGCCACTTTGCTCATTAAGTTGGCCCTAACTTGAATTAATATTCTGGCTCCACTAACTCTTTCCATAACCATTTTTCCAATCACAATGCTTAATACTTTTGTGTTATTTGCTTCTCTATCTCCATTGGTTAGGTATATATACCAGTCACCATGTCACTTGAATCTATTTTCTTGTCTCTATTTCCATTGGAACAGCCTGCATTATTTCCTGTCTTAAGCAGCTTCTCCCTGACTCCTGTCCCTTAACTTTCACTTTCCTATACTCAGTTGTAAGATTGATTCTCCATTCTTGGATAGACTTTTGTTTGGGTCTGTGAACATCTCTATTTTCCCTAATTATCTACCTTAATCTCTTGGACTCTGTGATAGCTTGGCCTTGCTGAACTAGGAGTCTCTTATCCTCATTGCCTTGTTGGTTCTTTTCAGGTATAACCTTTTGCTTTTGAAAGCCTATTTTACTGGCTTGCTTCTCTTCACGTAAGAAAACCTTACTGGTACACATTTGGCCCACTTAACCCAGCACACAACACAGTCTCTCCAGAACTATTCTCCTGATTCTATGTCTTCTAGTCTTCCTTATGCTATTCCTTCTAAAGAACCAGCATAAATATATGAAGCTGATTGACACTCTAAGATGTTTAAATCATCTACAAGTACACTAGCTCATTGATATCAATGAAAGCCTTATAAAAACTAAATATGATCATTACTAAATTTCTTTGTACTGGACAACCCTTGGCTAAATGCAAATACAAATATCATAAGCTTTACCAACAAACTACATTTGAAAATCTCACTCAAACTCATCCATTCTTCCTTTTCAATCTAAGTACGTTGAATTTTTTCTGAATCAAGTAGATTTTACTTCATCCTAACTAATTACAAAAGAATTAGAAAAGGGGCTTCTGGGTTGCTCATTGGTTGAGTATCTGCCTTTAGCTCAGGTCATGATCCTAGGGCCCAGGGATCAAGTCCCACATCAGGCTCCCTGCACGGAGCCTGCTTCTCCCTCCCTCTGCCTATGTCTCTGCCTCTCTGTGTGTCTCTCATGAATAAATAAATAAAATCTTTTAAAAGGAAAAAGGAAGGGGATCCCTGGATGACTCAGCGGTTTAGCGCCCGCCTTTGGCCCAGGGCGCGATCCTGGAGTCCCGGGATCAAGTCCCACGTCGGGTTCCCAGCATGGAGCCTGCTTCTCCCTCTGCCTGTGTCTCTGCCTCTCTGTCTCTCTCTCTCCCTAAGTCTAAAATAAATAAATAAATAAATAAATAAATAAATAAATAAATAAATAAATCTTTAAAAAAAAAACAAAAGGAAAAAGGATTCTTAATTCAAAGAAAATATTGAGACAGCTTTGTTAGTTTATAGAGGCAGATACCTGGAACTGATGAGTGTTTCTGACAAGTAAAGCAAGTCAACTAAACACCTGCATTAAAATCTAGGCATTATAATGTGTAGATTTCCAATAAATATACCTCCTCAAAAAGGTTGAAGTAGTGGCTGTGGTATTAGTAGTGGTACTAATGATGGAATATTGACTTTCAAGAATAGTAATACTGCATACATACCATATATACACAACTAGGAGTATATGGTATGTTGTGGAGTATATGGATTCCTGATCCCTTGCTTTTTCTTGGTTAAGGTAATCATCAGTGACTTTAGTAACCATGGTTACCTACTTGAGAACATGTGTAGGTTCTATTTCATCTTTATCTCCCATGTTTATATTTCCCTTTTACTGCTAATTTCTCTCTAGCACAATATAGATCACTCATACTTTTTACTTGTTATATACTGATGTTTTTATGTAAGCTTATTTTCCCCAGGAATAAAATGGACAAAAAGTATTAAAAGATTTAGCATATTTCCTAGATTAATAAATTAAAAGCATAAAAATATTGCACTAAAATTATAATTCAGCAAGAACTGCACAGGAACTGAAATACTGAAGGATTTTAGTAAATAGTTTTTGGAAATTGCACTTAGGAATTAAAACAATATAGTAAGTCGATCATATCAGACCTTAGACAAACTACTTCTGGAAAAGCAGCAAATGTATTGATTGCATAGGTTCTTGGCCAATCAGCTAATAAATTTAAAGTCTATATTGAAAGACCTTATCCACATAGAAGAGCTTTAAACTTATCTGTACTGGATGGATGACATCTAAGGTTATCCAAAAACTCTTTGATAACTCAAAGCCAGGAATTTTGAGGGTTAGTTTTTATCTCTCAATCTACCTTAAAGAAACTTTCAGCAATGAAACTACATAATCTTGAATACATGTATCCAACAGAACTCCTAAGATGGTAAGAGAGGCTGTTAAGGATGTGTTAGAACTCTTACATTGCTGTACTATTGCTTTAGGGGCATTGTAAATATCAATCCCATCTAAAGAATTTCTGTGATGATACTGAGATAAGTTTAAAAAGCATTTAAGATGTTTCTTAGATTGACTCCAAGCTTGAAGGCAAAACAGTCCATTAACCACTATTACAATAACTACTAAACAAACATCCCTTAGAATTCATTCACATAATGGTGTCATTTGCAGAGTTAAAAGTATCAGTTACTCTTTTTTTTTTCCAAATCAGATTTCCACTTTATTAAACATAAGTATTGGTTTGTTTTTATGGGTTTTTATTTATTTTTCTTTTTAAAAAATTTTATTTATTTAAATTCAATTTGTCAACATTAGTATAACACCCAGTGCTCAGTTACTCTTATCACATCTACCAAGGAGGTGAACTGTTAACCATTCCTTGTT